CGAAATGATGATGCATACAATGAACTCTGGACTAGGTGCGTTCCTCTAAGTCTTTTTGGATTTTTTTTGTTTAACTTTCATAATTGTTGGTTTCTGACGATGCCCATTACATGGCGGATGATAGCAATGAACAGGTGGATCGGGATCACATAACGATGATCCTACGTATTCGCACAACCCAGCAGTCATACATTCAAGACAATCATCATTCGGTGTTGGGTGAGGCCAAACTATGAACCACTTCCACCTGTCCTCTCGAATGAAATGAAAAGATATGTTAGAACCAATCTTCTAAGAAGTTAGTTGAAACCCAGTTTCTCTTCATACCTCGGATATAATAGGCATGTGATGGTACAATTTCGTTCACGATTTCTTTGATAGCATTTATTGTGTGAAAATAATTGCCGATTAACGAAGTATAAAATCTACTGAATTAATTGTTTTGTATTTAAGTAGCGTTTTGAGACTATCAATAAATCAGTAATATGAGATGTATTCACCCTATTCCGTTTAAGTTGATGAAGGACTAGTAGTAGCATTTTCCCACAATCACATGAGTAGAGCTGACGTTTTCAATGAATTTTACATAGCCTTGCTTTCCCAAAAAGTTGTTCTCATCCAAGAGGACTGCAGTTTCGACGTCGAATCGGTCTTATCAACACCTCCAGCTGGATTTGAACCGTGACAGTTCAGAATGGATGAGAACAACTTTTGGGCAAGCAAGGCTATGTGAAATTCATATGAAATGTCAGCTCTACTCATGTGATTGTGGGAAAATTTTACTGCCAGTACTTCATCACCTTAAACGAAATAGGGTGAATACATTTCATATTACTGGTGAATTGAGTAAATAAAGTAAAATATTGAAGAAATGGCAAAATTGGCTTCGGTATGTCTTTCCGATTAGGACAGATTGATAGTAGGCATTGTAAAGAAATTTAGCAGGATGAAATAGAAGCGAGCAAACATAATAGGCAGGAGAAGGTGAAGGAGAGTCGAAATGGAAGTGAGCTTATGCAGAGTTCTACAGGCTTACAAACAAATAATCGAACTAGGTATGCTGAATAAATGAAAAGCATACCTGCACCACCTCGTCTGCCGCCATCATACCACTGTTAGTCACTACGACCGAGGCAACAAAAGATTGCCCCAAACGAATAAGCCCTCTTTTTGGCAATACGAGAAGAGAATACGTGAATCCGGAAGCCTCGACATTTCCTTTGTTGCAGTAAACGTTGTATGAAAGACCATGGCCGAAAGGAAAAGCCACCGGAATCGGGTCTTTGCAGACAGTCGACCTGTTCCCTTTGTCCCCCGCCAGCAGGCATGTAGACTTTGGCAAGTAACGGTAGGTCTGATTGGTCATAGTATACTCCTGGATCCCGGCCAAATTAGTGACGTCTGCATACCAGGTGAAGGGAAGACGACCGGCGGGAATCCACCAGCGGCTTTCGACACCTGGTTCATCCTCCTCAGACGAAAAGGCGCGCATAGATCCCAGACCTTCACCCGAAACTCCGGTCAAGAGCGAGTAGAAAGCCTCGCCTATCAATGGGCCGGGAAATCCAGCCCAAAAGATCGCCGTAACCTAAAGTTTGAAGGCAAAAGTTACTTGTGTAAATGTACTTGTCTACTTACATACGAAAATAAGAATGATTAGCCCATTGATTGTCAGCATTACTGACAATATGGGCTTAAGAGTGGCTTATTTTGGTCATGTTTTTACTGGCAAATCTTGGTTCGGTAGTCAAAATTGCAAGTATTCTAACTTTGCTGCTACAAAGGGTTTCGATGAACCTCTTGGGATAAACTTGTTGGGGGACTTTTATTTCGTACGAAACGGCATGATGAAGATATTCCAAGGTGGACCTCATCAGAAGACGACGGCTGATTACCGTTCCACTGCATTTCATGAGACATTATCACCTGTTTCGGATGAAAACGGGGTAAACTTGTTTCTATCAGAGCAGGAACTAATTCTTTTTAAAGTCTCCAGTTGCCATTGCTCTATATTGCGTCTTAACCCGACTCATAAGTAAAAGTGAGAACGTATAAACATAGCTGAGTATATAAGTATTTTGCGATATCAAACCCGAACAGTTGAAGTACAATGGCAATCAGCTATCGACTTCTGGTGAGATCGATCTTCGAATCTCTTCATCATACACTTTCGTACGAAATGTAAGCCCCTCTAGCAATCAAAAAAGGGGGAGCTTTTTATGTAAATCTGACCTAATCTCAACATTCTTTTTGTCTTAATAGCATGAATACGCTGGTGTGAATGGCTGATACACATGAAGCTTTTTAGTGGTTATGACAGTCTAAATAGCCTTCGACCTGTATCTAAAATTCATCTAGATGCTTCTTGTTACCCACTACTTAGTTCTCAGAATGTTCAAGGTACTTGTTTACCTTTTGGGAATTCTATCTTCAAAGCAACCGTGACTTAATTACCCCATTTTAATTCGCTTTAGAGCAACCCGAAAATGGAGGATAATTTTGTCTCTATTAGAGGAATAAAATACTAACATGGTAGGAATCTCATAAGTGAATAGAATGTCTTACCATTTACCAACTCGATGTTTTCAAATTGAGACTGAAATTTGGCTGATGAAATACCAATGAATCACTTGTGGATTCTCATCTTATATGCCGAATAAGCAGGTTGTGAAACTACAAGCAGATCCTAAATATTAAGTCAAATCATCGTATGTGACTAAAAATGATATAACAATTGTTTAATTAAATGGAAGGCAACGCAATTCAATTCTTGAATTCCGTATCCAAGTGATTTATTGGCTGCTATTTTGGGTGAAGGGTTGCAATTATAAGATTCGTAGTTCGATATCGCCAGAAGGCGACGGTTGTTTACCCTTGATCTGTTGTCATATGGTTTTACTGATGCATCCAGGTTGACGCAGGCTCGGTGGCATTCTCCCTCATTTATGATGAAAATGTGTGGAGCCTTAATTTTTCGTGAGCCAGAATTTCTAAAAGCAAATCCGCCTTTGTTTTATTATACAATAGACTCATGAATCACTTGAAAAAGGACTTTATTTTGAGATGAAATTCTGCTCAATATTGATACTTGAAGAGCTTAATTATAATCGAGATATTAATCCTTAAAAAATTCGTAGTATAGTTTCCAGCTGGTCTTGATATTATCAAACAGTGAGTATTAAGTAGCAATATTGCGTCATCAACGCATTGGCGCAGCTTCTGGTGATGCACAGGTAAGAGATGACTTTAATGGTGAGCCAGGCGCCTCTCGGGCTTGGTGTCCACGATCTGGCTTCATATCTCTTTCCGGGTGCTAATCAGACAACGAGACGACGTTGAAACCTCCGAGTGACAGAGAAAGAAGTGACCATTTTGGATATATGGAATAGTAAAATTTGGTGCAAAAATTAATTTTTATTATTGAATCATGGGCGAAATGGCCATCAATACAATAACCTGACTCAAGTCTAGTGCATATCAATAGCAAATTAGATTTGGCAATGTTTTCCTTTGACGCGATGTAGCAAAAACGCATATAGAACAATTATTCGAGTATATTCCTGTGATTGTTTATTCAAAATTATCAGCTTCGTCCCTGTGAATAGGTATGACAATATTTTCTGGTGTATTTCACACAATTTTGAGTGCTTACAAATTATATTTCTAGTAAATAGTGTGTTTGTTTTTATGGGCAATTCAAACTAATTATGATCTCGTGCTAATGTCATGAAATCATCTCACCTTAAACCCGAATACATTATACAAAAACCAAGGTTTTGGGACTTTCTTGGATTGAGGTTTATAGATTTA